AAAAAATCCAGTGGCCTGACTTTATCTTTTTTTCTGTCTAAATAGTGACTGTAGAATTAGAAACCTTTGTAATGCAGTATTTGTCCATTGGTTTCAGACAAGACCCAGCTGAGAATCTGGGTGAAGTCGAGTCCCCCAAGGAAGTCTTTATTGTGAAGCTTCATGTGATGCTGTTACAGTCAGCAATGCGGATAAGTGCCAACACAGGCCAGCTCTCTAATTGCTTTTTACCAAGATTGTCTGTTTTCCTTTCAGATTTCTAAGCTACCACTGCAAATATTGAAGTTCACCTTGATAAATAGGAGACAGACCTAGTTATGTCAGAACACATAATTTTGTCATCACAAGTATCCCCCAAAAGATTTCTCAAAATTAAGATATATTTTCTGTGTTTCTCTGGAGTATAGTGACATTCCAGAGGATATTCTCACAAAGCATACCCCCATCTGCCTGGCGTGGGGCCCAGAGCTATAGAGCTATTAGCTTGGTCATTCAAAATAACCCCCATGTTTTAATGCATGACCCCTAAAAATAGTAATAATAAGGAATAATGCATTGTAGCATAGAGTTTGCAAATCCTACAAATACTTGCAACTGAGCTATATACTGGATCCCTTAAAAATCATGCCACTGGGGCTTTTCTACATTGTGTTTTTGTCTTCTTCTTCTTTCCATGCTAGAAACCATCCTGACTGAATTTCTTGGTGGTACCATATTGAGCTCAGTCTCTAAGAGGCAGGAGATAGGTGTTAAACTTTTTGGTGTTCAGTGTGCTATCAAGTCATGCTTCCAAAAACTTAGAAATGAATACTTTTTTTCCATGCAGTCCTGAAAATGGATAGGCTGCATGAAGTAAATGAAATGTTAAGAAAGCAAGGGCTATTTCTCCCTTAGAATAGCCTGCAAATCATTTAACATCTTACTCTGAAAACTATAGTTTTCAGGGTCCTTTATGCATATTATGTGCTTTGGGGTAAATGCTGAATTTATAGAAAAATCATGCAGAGACCGTCTAAGACATTGTGTTCCCTAGGAGATAGAGAAGCAGAGGTACTCTTGGGGGACTCTACTTCATCCAGATTCTCAGCTGGGTCTTGTCTGAAACCAAAGGACAAATAGTGCATTTCAAAGGTTTCTAATTCTACAGTCACCATTTAGACAGAAAAAAGATTAAGTCAGGCCATGGTTTCTGTTTCGTTTTGTTTTGTCTTTAGAATTGCCATACTAATTTTACTAAAAGCTTCAGAGGAGGAGAGAATAGACTATAACTTACATAATCCAAGACTGAAGTTTCTACAATGGCCTTAATCTTGTTTTATTTCTCCCCATCCCTAAAATTCAGCCTAACCATTTATCCTTGTTTAAGAGCCCTCACTAGAGGCTCTGGGTAGTCGGGGTGAGCTGAGTGAAGCTATTCCCATGGCCATATTGTCTAAGAGAAATGACATTTTTCCTGGACTAGAATAAAATGTCTAATGTACTCCAGGCTACTTTTCTGGCTGAGAGTGCCATCTTACAGTCATCCTCTTCAATTGGCCCATATGGTTTTGCATCTGTCACTTGACTGCTCTGTGCCTCAGCAGCTCCTACCATAAAGCTGACCTAACACAGATTTGTACACATTTCTGTGATTCTGACCAACATGAGGTAATGGGGTATACCTCATCTTGGTATACTCCATTTAGTTGTTTGAGTCAGGAGAATAAATTATTTCTCCTGACTCAAACATCTAAATAAAAAATTGGCAAAATATAAAAAAAAACTCAAGCCATTGAATATCAAAAATGAAGACCCCCACTCCACCTCCCCCCAAAAGTGAAGGATTTTTTCATTGTTCAGTTTACTGGTTAGGAAAAGTCTCCAAACTGTAGTATGGGGGGAGAACCTGGGTAAAGTTCAGAGCTAAAGAGAAGCAGTTGGGAGTTGGAGGAAGTCAATGAAGCTAGAGTTAAACAGATTAGTAAAGAAGAAAGAGGTGTCAGAGAAAGAAATTGTAAAGTCTTCAGTCTCCCTTGATTACTTAGTTGATCACTTATCAGAGCATTCATGTAAAAAAAAATTACCAGAGGCCAGAGAAAGGACCACTAAAAAGACTAGAAGGAACTAGAAGGAAGCTATAAACAGTGCCAATTTCCCTGGCTAAAATGTAAAACTTCACAATTCATGGGGTATCAGACAAAAAACTAATAAGGACCTTGACTCGGTAAAAGGGCATGGTAAGCCCTATATTAAATACTGCTCTGGTCCTACCTAAAAAGCTTAAAAGCAAGACCTAAAGGATCAAACTCTTTCCAAGTAATATAAGTATGCCCCATAACAAAGTTCATAAATGATTTTAGGAAAACAGAAACATACTCTACCTAAGGTAAATTAACAAGATCTGGCAACAATTCCAATGTTACCAGACATCATGAGAAGCAGGAAAACACAACCTATAATGAGGAAAAATAAGTCAGTTGAAAGTGAAAATTGCCAGAATAAAAATGGAATCACTTTTATCAAACACTAACCAAAAATAAATAAATTGGGAGTTTATGAAGGAGAAATTTTATGTGCATTTGCCTGATGACAAGAACTATCACAAAGGAGTGCTAGAATTATAGCCTTGCACAAAGGCCACTGCAGCCTTACAAAGAAAACCCTTCTGCAAGGACTTGTGACCAATAATGGTCTGTTCAGCCTTGCACTGATTCCACACTTGCTATTGATCCTGGAACACCCTTGTCATTAATACTTGTGGCCAAGGATTATGTTTTCAAAGTAGCTTAAGTAATTCTCACTTTGCCCTTAAAAGATTTCCTTTACCTCATCCCCTTTGAATATACTAATAGTTCCCATGACATGCATATTCCACATTACAGTGCTCCCTGTTTAGTCCTAACTAAATATATTATGCTTTAAAGAGTCTATGCTTTTTGTTTAGGTAGGTTGAAAAAACTAACCCCCAAATGACACAGATGATGAGATTAGTAGTCAAGGACATTTAAAAAAGTTACTACAACAGTATTTCATACATTCAATAAACTGGAAGAAATATAAAACATGCAAAGAGAAATATTGTAAATATAAAAATAAAAATTCCAGAGATAAAACTATAATGTCTAAGGTGAAATGTATACTAGAGGGATTGATTAGAGAGTGTAGAAGATGAACTCAAACTTGAAGACACAGCAATAAAAAATTAAAATAAAACATAGAAAGAGGATTGAAAAGAAATGAACATACCATCAATGAACTGAGGGACAACTTGAAGTACCAGTGTAATTACAATCTTTGAAGGATAAAATCAGGAAGGGACAGAAAAATGTTTGAATAATGGTGAAATTTTGCAGATTCGGTGGAAACTCTAACCTACAGATCCAATAATCTTAATAAAAACCAATTATAAGAAAACAAAACAAAAATCACACATGAAACATCAGAATAACTGTGGCAATGAGAAATGCTGTCAGAGAAAAAAGGCACATCACATGTATAATGAGGAGCAATGGTAAGATTACAGAATGTTTCCCATGGAAAATAGGATACATTAGAAGACAATAGAACAACATCTTTAATGTACCAAACAATGACAATAAAACAGTTCATATAGCATTATAGATAGTCCTATATTTCAAAGGCAAAGTTTAAAAGGCTTTTAACATATGCAAAAGCTAATTCATCACCAACAGATCTTCATTATAAGAAATGTCAACAACATTCTTTCTTGCAGAAGTAAAATTATAGCACATAAAAACATAGGTATACATGAGGGAATAAAAAGCAGTAGAAATGTTTGCTGGAAATAAATGGAACAAGGAACAAATTAAACTACTGAAGAAATATTGAGGCAAACCAGAATATGCAACATTTTAAGTTTTTCTGACTTAATTTAAGAAGCAAAACAAAGACCTCCCCCCCAAAAAAAAGAATCCTAGCACTGATTAAAATGAAAAGAGGTAGAGATAACTTCTACACACCTACTAGAATGGCTAAAATTTAAAACACAGAAAATGCAACATGTTGACAAGGACATAATCCAAACAAAACTCACATGCATTCCTTGTTAGAATGTAAAATGGAACAACAACTTTGAAAAACTCCCTAATATAATGTAAATTTGCATATATTTTGCTATATAAGCCAGTAATTTCCAAAATAAAAAATTATATCCACAAAGAGGCTTTAAAAGGAATGTTTATAGAACATTTATTCATAATAATCCCAAGCTGGAAACAAGTAAATTCACAGGGAAATGGATAAACAAATCATAGTGTATCCATATAATGGAATAATACTTTGCATTAAAAAGGAATAAAGTGGGGCTGGGGTTGTGGCTCAGTGGTAGAGTGCTTACCTAGCATGTGTGAGACACTGGGTTCGATCCTCAGCACCACATATAAATAAAATAAAGGTATTGTGTCCACCTAAAACTAAAAATAATATTTTTTATTAAAAGGAATAAAGTACTAAAGCAAGTAAAAAGGCAGATGAATCCCCAAAACATTATGTTTAGCAAAAAAGTCAGACACAAAAACAGCATATGTTCTATAACATTTTTATGCACTTCTAGAATTGTCAATCTATGAAAAGTGATTTTCTCTGGGGAACAGCTGGGGATTGACTGAAAAGGGGCATGAGAACACTTTCTGGACTGATGGAACTGTTCTATACCTTTATAAGGAAGGGTATTCATCACATGTGTGTGCATTTATAAAAAATTAGCTGTAATGTACTGTTATGGTTTGGATCTGCAATGTGCCCCAAAATCTCATGTGTTGAAAATATGTTCCCCAATGCAACAAGGTTCAGAGGTATTGCTTTTAGAAAATCATGGATCATCAGTGAATTTAACCATTTGATGGATTAATCCATTGACAGTTCAATGGACTACTGGAAAGCAGGACCTTGTTGGAGGAGTAGTTCACTGGGGGTGTGTCCTGACTCTTTCTCTCTCCTTTCTAAGTCTCTCATCAATCTCCGTTTCTGTTTTTGTTTCTTTTCTTCCCTGCTGCTACAAGGTAAGAAACTTACCTTCATCACACCCTTCAGCCATGATGTTCAGCCTTGCCGCAGGCCCAGAGTAACAGAGCCTTCCCACCATGGGCTGAATCCTCTGCAACTGTGAGCCAAAATAAATCTTACCTTCTCTTACTTTGTTCTTGACAGTGACAAAAAGCTACCTAACACATGTACACTTATAATTCATGCTTTTTGTTATATGAAAATTATACCTCAATTTTAAAAAAGATGAATGAATGGAAAAAGGTATTATTAAATGTGTGGGCCTTGTTTAGATACTAATATAAAAAATAAGTTAAATGAATAAAAATGCCTGTCCATAAAACATTTCAAGACAAAGAAAGGTGAAAATGGATATGCTATTGAATGAGATTAAAGAATTGTTTTTGATTTTGCTCTTGGGGACAAAGTTATATAAGAAAATATCTTTATTTTTATTTCCATATGGAAAAATATTTAGGCAAGATAATACAATGTTAGGGACGTGCTATAAAATGCAAGCAATGTAAACAATGAAGAGCTAGTTGAAGCAAGTACTATATAGTAAAATGTTTTTTATTTGTTGAATCTGAGTGATGGATAGAGCTTCATTAGGGTAAATTTTCTACTCTGGGAGAGAGAGAAAGTATATATTATTTACATATATTGTATAAGGTGTGAAAATTTTCATAATAAAATGTAAAATATTCCATTGAAATTCATAATCAAAGTTAAAATAATGTTTTAAAAATAATTTGAATTAAACTCCCTGGTTTGAAACTTAGTCACAAGCTATTCCCTCCCTGGACAATGATAAAAACATTATAAAACTATAGTAAACATATGGGACAAAGGTGAAATAAATACTATTTTTAGATTTCTTACTAATATTTAAAGCTTCATATTATCATTTACCAATATCTCAAAATATAAAAACATATATTGTATAATAAATAGTAAGGCAATTATTTTCATTATTAATACCTACAATTTACCTCAGAGTCCAAGAATCATCTCAGAGCTTACATTTGGGGAAAGAAATGACTGCAAAGCCATCAATGGGTAAGAGGAGAGTGGGGCTGTCCCCTGGCACTAAGCAGGAAGGATCTGAGTCTTCTGCCTCTGAGAGTCAAAATGCAAGCTACCATCTCAAAAGAAAGGACCTCCTCCTTCCCTGCCCTGCCCCAGGCTATCCATTTAGACCTTACTTTTTCCCTGAGTCGTTCTAGTCGAAAAATGTTTGGATAAAGAACAGCTGATCCAGTTCTCTCTCCTTCCTCCCTTCCTTTGCATCCTAATTTGGCCTCTATCATCTGCTTGCCCCCCTTTCAACCTTAAAAATAGTATTTTCTAGGCACATTGGTGCACACCTATGATCCTGGCAACTTAGGAGACTGAGAGAGGATCCCTAGTTCAAGGTCAGCCTAGGCAATTTTGCTTCATATTGGCAAATCAAACTTTCCAAGATCCCACTTTTTCCACAAGGAAAATGTTCCAAGGACCTCTGCTTGATAGACCACCCTAAACCCTACTTTTTTTCCTGTTACTTCCTTCTACAATCATTCATCCTTGTCCCTTCACTGTTCCCAAACATTCTAGGTGTATCCCTGGATTCTAGTGCTTTTTAAGATGTTTTCTTCTGTCTACAATGTCTTCTCCTATATTCTTACCTTAATAATCTTTAGCTTTAAGTTCCAGCTTAGGTACCACATCTTTCTCTCTCCTCAATGTGTTTAATAATTATATTTTCTCTCATTTTGATTTTTAGATCATAATTTATAGTTCTATATTTTTTACTCTAATCTGAGCACAGTGTAGATGCTGAATGAATGAATGTGTGAAGAAATGAATGTTATCTCTAATCCTTTCTGGAGTGCTGTCTTACCTTGATACTTTTTACAAAGATAACATACAGAAGCTAAACTATAGGGGTTAGAAAAATCAACAAAGGCCCATCATATGCCCAAACCACAAATATCACAGTTCTGATCTTAATGGGATTGATTCTAACCTCTCCCTGACCTTGTTCTCTCTGCTAGGCTGTCTTGTATCATAACTGAATGTCCTAGGAACAGTGTGGTTTGGTCTCTTTCCTTGTCTCTCATCTGCTCAGAACAGGATAAGCAGCAGTACCTTAGAGGCAGTGCTTGCCCACCCTTTAAAAATGAATCTTGTACCAGAATCCTCTGAAGAAGGAGCCTGTTGAAAAATTAACCCTACAGAAGCTAGCATCTGTTTGATGAAATTAGCAGAATTAAAGAAAAGATCTAATGTTAATGTGAGGGGAGTCACTCCAGGACAGGTGTGCCTGGGACAGTTCTTGGAGGGAAAATATGAAGAGCCCCACCTGTGGTGGGGATTTCCTCCTAAATATTTTGCCTACAAATACTATGGGGTGTGGTGGGACAGAGTAACTGACCAGATGTTTTTGTAGGTAGGGGAAGGGTGACCTAAACATATGCTTTGTGCTTAACATTGATAGTATAAAAAATTATTCTTTACTAACTTTTCTGTGAGCTTTATTTTAATTTTAACTCATTTTAATATAGCACTCAAAAGGTGCTCTGGTAAATATAGATTTTAGATCTTCTGCTTTAAAATCAATAGGTATAAAAGGATCAAGTAAGGTCACAAAATGGAAATGTAGTCCCTACATCAAAATTTTAAGCTAGGGACCTGGAATGAGGAGCAATTTTGAGAAAAAGAAGAAATATTTTGAGAGACCGTATCAGAAAGCAAGAATTAGCTAGAAATGTATCTGCCAACCAGAAGAAACAACTTGGCTAGAATGGCTTGAAACATGAGCGAAGTAGTGATTTAGGAGAATCAGAGTACAAACAGGAGAGGCCTGGGGACTATAACTTGACAGATGGGCTGGCCAGAATGTGAGCACAAGTGACAGATGAAATTTAAGAGAAAGAGAGAGAGAAACCTAACATTCACAATCAATTTGACAGATTTCAAACTGTGAACTGTGTCAAACATGTCACTATTTTATAATTTACCTATCTTTGCTACCACATAAATAAAATATTATATATTTTTTTTACTTTTTTCCATTAAAAATAGTATTTTCTAGGCACATTGGTGCATACCTATAATCCTGGCAACTTGGGAGACTGAGGGAGGATCCCTAGTTTAAGGTCAGCCTAGGCAATGTAGCAAGACCTTGTCTCAAAATAAAAAGTAAAATGGGCTGGGACACAGCTCAGTGGTAGAGTGTTTCTGGGTTCAATCCCCAGTACTGGGCACAGTGGGGCACACCTGTAATCCCGGCAATTTGTGAGACTGATGCAGGAGGATCAAAGCCACCCTCAGCAAAAGCGAGGCACTTCTCTAAATGAAAACACAAAATAGGGCTGGGGATGTGACTCAGTGGTTGAGTGCCCTTGAGTTCAATCCCCAGTGACCCCCCACAGAAAAGTATTTGTCCTCTAAAAGGACTGACCATGGGATATGCTGCAAGGCATAAATAAGTCATGGAGACCATAGGGAATGTGAGAGTGAAAAGGGATCAGGTATACAAGAGTGCATAAGACATGCATATGCAACCAAAAGAGTAGTTATTGAGTGTATGACTGTAGATATGTCTCTTGGGTCTAGAAATTGAGTCTGCCTAGCATCCAGAAGTTTCCTCTGTGTATTTCCCTAGCTCCATAGCACTCCATGCCCTCAGCTCAGGAGGATACCCTAGACTCTTACAAAGGCTTTATAATTATGCCTTTTACAATCAAGTGTTTAATCAATCCTGAACAAAATTTTTTTATGGGTTTAGGTACAGGCCCAACGTTTTTTTTTTTCCTTCTCATTTGGATATTCAAGTGTCCCAGTATCATCTACTAAAGAGCTTATTCCATTACCCCCACATGAGTCAAATATCCATTTATGTACAGATCTGTTTCTGGTATTTATTTATCTGTGTATTTACTTATCCTTCCCTAAGGAGACACATTAAATGTTTGTTCATTTAAGCCTGTGATTATTTTACCCCCTTTCTTCAGCCTGCATTATGCCTGAGACCATCTCTATGTTTAACAATCTTCATTTAGTCTTTCCAGTTAACCACATGTGGGATTTCTGATTGTTGTCTTCATCTCACTGGTGACTCAGTGGTTAAGTAATTTGCTCAAGGTCACCTAGCTAGCTAGTGACAAAGTCAAGATTTCAAGGTCTATCCCTCTGTACTCTGCTTAGAAGCCCAAATACCTTCCACAGAGAGGACCTATAATCCTGTCTCTTACCATTCAGGTCACAACCTTTTAGTCCAAACATCCTATATCATGATGTCCTTCTAAACATATAACTTTTTCTTTGTGTCTATCAGGAGACATGTATGCTGATTGGATACTAAATATTTGTCTCTTGAATGAATCAAATAGCATCCAGCAGCCCAGGCAGCTAAGTATCAGGCTCTCAGTCATATGCTCTTGCCAAGGATTCTTGGCTATGTTTGGCGTTTTCCCAAAAGGGCCTGATACTTGATACTTACTCTTCAACCTAATTTTCGACCTGTGATGCCTTCCTGAACCCACAGGGAGTTGATTGTGCTGCTTTTCTTTTGTGCACAAAAAAATATTCCGTCATCAGCCCAGATTTACTCCTCAAGGGTGTCAGCCTGTAGAAATCAGTCCTTCAATTGACGTGCACTACTTGGATTGCCAAGAAAGACTACATTTTCAAAAGGGACAATTATACAAGGTCTATTTCAGTGCTGAAATCTGTTTATGAAAAGGAATGTGTTAGGGGCAATGCCGTTCACTCTGAATTCACCAAATCCTTGATCATGAAATATTATCAGAATGTTGGCAATCGCTTCTGGGTAACCCTGCTTACACAATAGTTCCCAAAGCTGCCAGACACGTTGGTATGAAATGCTTAAGTAAGGTCAGTAAACAATGTGTGAGTTCATTGCCTTTCTCTGAATATGATTTACCAACTTTGAATATGAAGAATTTGGATAATCTTTTCCAATTCAAAAAAACACCTGGGAGCATGGACCTTGTTACCTTGGCCCATGCACATGATATTGCCCCTATTGACATAGCCTTCATGAGACTGCAGGAGGGAAGGATACAACATTGGCTTCGTTGTTAAAATGTTTTATACTCATTTGTTCTGAGGCT